CCCAACAAATACTTGGGAAAGCTGATTTCGTTTTTAGACCCAGTTCTTCCCAGAGCATCCCGTACTGACTTTGCGAGGTGTTGGCACGCTCAGACTGACGGTTGGGCGGCATCGACATTCCACAGTAACTGCGATGGGAGGGGAACCACAGTGACAATCATCAAAGTCAACAGCTATATCTTTGGTGGATATACGGACGTGTCCTGGGGGGGAGGTAGGTATATGAAACTTTTTAAGAAGGATGAGATGATTCCATCAAATCAATCCTGGTTCTCTTGGAGGTTTGAGAGTGGAGGGGGTGCGCGATGAATTTTTGAACGATGCTCCTCTGCTATGAGCTTTAAGCCTTTATCGTTTCATTTTCGTGTTTTGGTTTTTTCACACATATATCATGAATTGAAATGTTTGCCACTTGATATACCTGCAGAACAACATTACATCTTAAAACATTAAATAATGAGCAACAACACTGAGATTCAAAAGTTTCAAAAGGTTGTACTTCCTTTTCTTTAGAGTAACCCCTCAAATCTTTCATAGTTCTTATTCGTACCCGTTTCTATACCCAAACTCCTAGAATCTCTCCTTCCATTTAGCAAACCTCTAGCTTGAAACAAAATACCCGTCTTGCCCATGATAAAAAATGAATCACCCTCCTTCAGGGGATTCACGTTTTCTTCGAACTTTTTGACGTACGACTAAATCGTCCTTCTATTTCAGCTGGTTCTTGTGCAGGTTATTCTTCCGCGAGTAAAGCGTTCCTCTTCTCTCTCAATAACGTCAAAGGATACAATCCTGTCAAGCTGACACAATACCGATACCAGCAATACGCCATGTACAGATGTTCCTCCTACGGACCCACTTTTGGTGGGGGACATGACATCTACGTATCAAATTACGCAGGAAACAATCAACAATCTTATACTGAATGCGGCTACACATACTCCAGCCCCCCGGGCTATTCGACGAGTGATCAATGTGGATTTTTCACAGGAAGTCGTCATTTTACTCCATCTGACATTGAAGTTTTCTTCGAAATAGGTAAATTATTGTTGAAAAAACACTGTAAAATCTGTTGCTAATATACGATGACTAAATACCTTAATTCTTATCCGTGTCAACGTTCAGCGATTTTAAGAGCGCATGCACTGAACCATATACAGCAGCAAATTACTATTCAGGTT